TGGACTACAAAAGCTATTCACAGAACTAATCCAAGAGAATTTCCCTAATTTAGCAAATGGTAAAGATACTCAGATATATGAGGCATACAGGACTCCAGCCACCTACAACCCAAATAGAGCTACACCCAGGCATATAATAATCAAAATTCCAGAAATCCAATATAAGAACAGAATATTAAAAGCTGTCAGAGACCAGAAACTAATCACTTACAAGGGAACACCCATCAGAATTACAGCAGACTTCTCGGCACAAACCATCAAATCACGAAGAGTGTGGGGGGAAATAATTCAAGCTTTGAAAGATAATAACCTCCAGCCAAGATTGATATATCCTGCACAACTATCGCTGGAAATTGATGGAAAAACAAGGTGCTTTCAGGATAAAGAGGAACTAGGGAAATATGCAACCACCAATTCAACTCTACAGAGAATACTGCAGGATATTCTAAAAAAGAAAAATACGAGGAATCCAGAAATAGTGGCAGAGAAGCCACAATGAATGGAGCAGAAAACAAAATGAAGAAGACAACCTGACAACTAATGACAGAAAAAGAGCTCAAGAGAAATGAAGCAGAGAAGACTGAATGATAGGAACAGCTATCTTGGAGAAAACGACATCATAATAGGTAGTGCTCATTTGGTATCATCTTATTTTGAAGTCCCATCAAGCTTTTGTTCTTCTGTCTCCATAGGTCTTAACATGTTGTATCTTATTGGCTTTAAATGTGATAGTATAAACAAAAACTTTTATAGACAAGGAGATTATACAGAAACCATAGTTCATTATCTGTTAGTTGATTCTAAATACCCTGTAATACTGTCATTCTCTTGAATGGTTTTACATTGTGTTGATATATTTGATGCTACAGTATACAAAGTTATACTCAAAGATCTCAAGGAAAGAGACAATATGGTAACTACTTTTATGTTGGGATTATCTGGTAGTGAAACACTAATTTGCTTAAATAGTTATGTTTTGATCTGCACTGTTTAGTTGTTATACCTTCTTTTATCTCAATCTCCATTTTATTATTTACTTTTTTATTTTATCCTTTTAATTAAAGGAAAAATAAATTTTAAAAAAGCAGGATATATTATAGTAACCCACTTTGATATTCTATTAACTTGATTTGAAGCCCTGTATTGCTCTCACCATCTTGTTTTGACTGATGTTCCTCTATTCTGCTTTGCTTGATAGAACCAGGTTTGAAAGTTTAGGCAACAGCTGTGAAGATAGTGAGATCCATTATGACGCCCATTCTGGTTGACTATTATCTACTTTTGAAGACCTGTAATGTCTCCAATGTTTTGGTTTTGTTGGTTTCGTTCTTTACTCTGTTCAATTTTATTATAACTGATGATATAGGCAATTCTATTTGAGATAGCGGGAGGCATTATGGTAACCATTGTTGATCACCTTGTATTATGTTTTTACATTACCTATTATGTCCACCCTTTTGATTTAACCAACTCTGTTCTGTTAAGTCACATTTGGTTTTACTCTCTTCCAAAAAAAGTAATAAGAACTGTGGGAGCAATAAAACCCAAAATGTGTAATAGTCATTGTACAAAAGAGAGGAAAAGACAGTGCTCTAAATGGTATAACTGCATGTAAATTTAAGTATATATGATAGACAATGATATTACTGAGTTTTGTTGGATCATTGAACAGAACTGTTTGCAGTCTCACTGTTTGAATGTCCACTTATATGATTTAATCTTGTAACTTGAACAAATATTTCTAAGATGACAATATGTAATCCATTAACTAGTGATTTCCTGTTTTTTTTTTCTGAAATTCTGTATAACTTGTACCCTTTTTCTGCTTTTTTTTTCTTTTTCTCCTTAAATAAAAAAAATTAGTGAAATTCTTGGCTTTCCTTACTTGAAAAGCCCTCACAAACTCAAGCAGCTACAATTGTTAGGACAGAGGATGGTGACAGAGACAGGGTCACCTGAACCGGGAAACATCGGCCTCTCAAATCTTCCATGACTGTAAAGTGAGGCTGATGATAAGAATGATATAGACATAGTTTCTAGTCTAAGCACTCAAACTAAAAGAGGAAAAACTTTTTAATTTGGTGTAAATTGCAAATGGCATAAAGTGAACTGAATAGGACCCCTGAGGAAAAAAAAAAATTTGGAGGAAAAAAAAAGTTAATGTATTTAACCAGAAATGTTTGAAAGTAAATCTTCCAAGAATGTTCACCTATGTAAATATTTAAGTTTCCTTTTATCTGCACTCATCCAACTGTTACTTAATATTTTATTTTTAACATAAACAGAAGAAAACCTTCCTTTGAAGGTAAATGGTTCAATTTCCCCAAGTAAGTTATTTTCAACATGATCAAAGCGTAGTGATTATAAGCATACGTCACAGGATCAGAGAGCTGGGGTTTCAGTCCTAACAATAGAGTTTGCTGGCCTTCTGTGATCAGCAAGGTTTTTATCTTGTATTTCTGATCTTCAGTGCCCTTCAGTTCCCCTCACCTACAGGAAGACCTTGAAACTCTCAAACAGGTCTTCATGGGGTTGCTGTTGAAAGCTGAATTACAGTATTTGTCATGCTTTGCAGAACTCCCAGCTCATAGTACTCCATGAATGAGTGGTGATGGTTAGAGTCATAACAGGAAAAAAGTATTCATTATTAATAATCACTATTTAATTATAATAATAAAAGGCAGAGAGTCACTGGTAAAAATCATCTAGAAATACTAGCAAAGTGGCTCAACAACTCCATTACTAAGGGAGAAATATATACATACAATATATCATGTTTCCAAGCCCTCTCTCTTGTCAGGTGGGAGATTATGCTGTGAGCTAGTGGATTAAATTGGAGAGGGATACCTCTCAGCAGGACCTGCATTCAAAGTCTGGAAATCACCCTTCCAGGAGGCTTTGTCATAAGAGGTGAACATAGATAAATGCAGGCGGCTCTGTAGGTGGCAGTGGATCCCCATCTTTTCTCAAAGGCTTCACCTTCCAAGTTTCAAAACTTCACAAAGCATTGCTGCACAATCTGCCATTTTCTTATGGCAAACATATGGGGATAGAGCATTCGGCTGCCCCTTCAGACCAGACCAGAGAAGAACAAAAGTTACAGAACAATACGCTTGTCCATCACAGGGTAGTATGTGTGGTAACACCAGGGTGCTGCTATTGTTAGGCCCTGGTAATACCAGCATCTGTGGCATGGTCACAATTTTGATGTGAGATCCTTCCCTTCCCCTTCAGAGTTAGTCCCTAATTCTACAGCTAGTGCAAGAATAAACCAATTGAGGGATTCAGTCCGTTACTGGTGGACCATCTCTGACTCTGGCAATGTTTCACAGGATGAGAAAAGGACTGTCTCAACTGATAAATATTTGGGAATTCCTAAAGATAGAAGGTCCAAGGGAAAGAGGAATTCTTTCAGGCACCTTCAGTGGTCAGCTGTCAGGAGGTTGGTACCAATTGGAAGGACAGAAGCTAGGCGCTCCCACTCTGGATCAGCCTACATGGGTTCAAATCTAGCCAGCAATATTCATTAGCTCCATGGCCTTGAACTGGTTTTATACGTATTCTGTGTCTTGGGTTCCTCACTGATAAGAGACCATGGTTTCTTCCTCATACTTGGTATGAAGATTCAATGGGACGATATACCTGAGACTGGACTGGACAGAGCATTAACAAAATATGCTGGGTTCTTTCTTTCTAATACATTTTCAACCGCACCATTTCCCATCTTTATCATCCCCTCGATGAAATTTCCCAGTCTAAGCCTTCTTCAGCCAATTTCCTAAGTTAATAGACATTTTCAGAAACAAACCAGCCCAGAAATTTAAACCATAGTTCAGTTTCTTCATTTAAAGTGCCTTTATCCACCATGTCAAGGTGTGTCTCAGGCTCACTGGCCCACAAAGAAAGCAAGCAGAAGTGGGTTTGCTCCCATTTACTGCCCAGCCCTTTTAGCTCCCCACTTCCACATGCAGCTGCAGGCTCGGGGAGAGGAGGGAGCAGAAAGTCTTCATAGCCTGGTCCTGTTGTAACCTGCTGTTGGGTGTGACAGCTGTGGAATGTCAGCTCTCCTTGTGGTGCTTCTATGGGTCCTCTGGAAAGCACTTCCCCTTACTAGACAGACTCTCAGAGCAGAACTTCTTTCAAAATCAGACCAGCTACTTCCATATCTCTTTAGCTGACAGCAAACAAACACCCTCCTTCCTTCATTCAGCCCCAGGCACTTATTCTCCTTGAGCCTCACAGACCCTCCAGCCCGTGTCTAGCCTTCAGTGAGAGTCTCATTCTCTTCCTTCAGCACAATCAGCATTGTGAGCCAGGTGACTGCAGTGACAGCCTGTTCCCATATCTGCAGTCTAGTGCATCCCTGGCTTCTATTCTCCAGACGTCCTCCCATGAGTGGCAATATAAATATCCCCTAGAGGGCAGCAATGTCCCTTTGACTGGAAATTACTATAGGCTTAGCCATTCCAGGAGACATTTTAAGCTCCCTAAGCACTTGATTATCCCATCCTGCCCTAAATCACTCTCCTGTGAGTATTCACTAACCTTTTTCATAAATATTCCATATTTTCTTTCCTTTTCAGAGTTAGGGGTGTCTGTCAGCTTTTGAACTTAACATTTATTGTAAGAACAGACACACTCACTTGTGCACACTGCAGGGGCAGAAAAGGGCCGTTACTTGTAAGAAATTACATAATTTAAAACAAATAACATGGCACTGAGAAAAATACTTAATGAGAAAAAAACAACATATAACTTACTTAACAAAATTACATTTTGAGAGAAGGCCCACAGTTAGAAAAACTACAGAATAGCTCCATGTCCTCCTGCAAGGTCTTGGGTTTCATACACCTTTTAATTTAGTGGGGGGTCATTCTCACATAAGGGGTCCTTTCTTCCCTAGGAATAAATGGAGTGCAAGAGCAAACAGCAAGCAAGAAGAAACAGGTAGGAATTATTCTTTTCCTTTGTTAGTCTACCTCAATCACCAAACGGGCATATTCAAGAACGTTTTCATACATGTATGTCTTGATTTTATTTCCAAGTAGCATATCTAATTTAATGGAAAAAATGACAAACAATTCAAAAAAATTGTATTGCCAACAGCACAGAACTAATTCAATATTGAACCTTCGGAGGAGAATACCTATTTACACTGAATAGCAAGGCAGAATGAGGGAAAGAATACTACAAAATCTTCAGTGAATACGTCCTTTTGGTAATGAATTAATACATAAGCCAAAACACACATAGCTTATCAGGGCCACTTTACAAAGTACTATTAGTATAAATTACAAACTTACTGCCTAATGTAACTACAGCCAGACTGAAAAACAAATGTGTCGAGGCATTTTGAGTACTTTAATAGTTTCACTTATATTTTCAAAATGTTTTACGTTCCTTATTTTTTTTCACCAATAACATTAGCAAAGCCTACTTCCTTCAACACCAAAAATTTTTATTGGCTCCTGGGGGAGTCTTTGTGTACTTTAAGTCTCTTTACCAGACAACCAAAACTTTTTGAGTCAGTTAGAAGCCCTGACACTAGGCCAGCACTAAATGACCAGGTGAGATATATTAAAAATGAAAACCAATTTTTAAATAAAAGCTGTGTTTCCCCTTAGTGTCTTACACTATAGATCTATAATTCTTTATCCAGCATTCCAAAATCTACAACAGTTTCATAGTGTTTTCATAAGGTGATAGCACACTTATTTGTTGGCAAAATTTGACCACTTATGTACGATGGTGCTCATTTGTCTATTTTGTGTGAACATTCATTACAGAATAAGGCACTGACTTACATAGAGCTGGTGTAGACCCCACTGATGGATTTCTATAACACACGAAAAGCACTGAAACATATGTGCAACACATTATTTCCCTAAACTCCCAAAACTTCAGAGTTTGAAGAAAAAAGAAAATTTGTTTCCCAAAGTTTAACATAAGCACTGGTACAGCAGAGGGAATATATGTGCATGTTTCACTGGATGGGGGCAGTTTTTGTGGGTCCCATGCACTAGAGTTTCTTTAGATTTTCACAATATCTAGAACATTCTATATCCTGGGGAAGATAGCAAAGTTCTGGGAACAAGTTCCTCCAGATCTTCCTGATAGGAATTGCTTTGTGTAGAACACCATTTTTGTCCAAAACCCTGAACAGTTTGACAATAAAGAATATTTGTATTCCTCTAATGAGCTTCCTTTTCATTAAAAATGTGACATTTTCTTTTATAGAGGTAAAAAAAAATGAAACAAAGAATTAGAAAAGAAGGGCCTACACATGACAAGTACAGGCTGCTTCCTGATGCAGCAATGTTAACAATTTATTGCATTTATAAAGTGATTCTGTGGATGAAGAGTTTATAGAATTCTGCATCCACAGATAAGACTTAACTTGGGATCTACCACTTAAGGAGAACAGAACTTGCCAAAGAAAATGATGTTTCGCGTTTTGTTGTGCCTGATGAAGTAAACAAATGGGTGGTCAGCATTGAATTCATCCTTATGTTGCAGGATCCGGGATCCTGGCACCTCTATGGAATCTCCACCATCTTCAGTTATGTCTAAGCACACTCTGTGAATCACATTTGATAAGGCCACTCCCTTTGTTTCTGACATTCCAGAGAAATCAGATGTGTTTTCATTAAATAAATTTTTCAGCCCTAAGTTTTCCAGGCTAGCCTTAGGATCAACCATTTTTTCCACCTTAAACTTTGGAAGGGAGAGTTTGACTTTGGCATTGGCCATGGTGCTGGGATTGGTCCACTGTGACAGGGTTTCTGCGCTGAGTTGTTTTTCAATCTGAAGGACAAAAAGAAAGGAAGTCAGGCTTATTTATTTCTAATTGTAAAAACATATAATGTTTAATTAAAAACATATAATGTTTATTAGGAACCCAGTTTCTAAGCAGGAACAGAATGGAACAGGAAAGGTGGCCAGCACCTTTGGCATGTTACTATTTTCTCCTAGAAGCTCCACCAGCCACCTGGCTTCACTGTCTTCCTCCCCCCACATCACTTCTCACTGCTCCATTTTCACTGAAATATAAGTGGAAATCTTTTATTCATTTGTCTTGAGTTATAGAGTACCTTTACAGAAACATGTATGGATGATACTGCATATGCAACAGGGAAATGGAGATAAAATTAGAGAGGTTTTATATGTTTTCTGAATGCTTATAATTTCTCTACAAGCAAATCCAGAATACCCATATGCTGGCCATGCCAAAATGTAATAACACAAATTAAAGGTAAAATGATTCTTTATTTTAAAAAATGGGGGCGGGACTGTTTCCGAGTCATTGTTAGCTCACTGATGGTGAATTCATCCATTTCCATTGGTTTTTAAAATGATACACGCAAAAAAGCTTAAATGGCTTAGTCATAAAATCCTTTAATGAGCATATCTTAAGTTGCTTGTCATCCTTCAATATTCAACTGGTTAAAGGAAAAACAAAAGTGCACCCAAAAATGATAGATAATACCTTGTCTGATATCATCACAGCAAAACAGCATTAATAACACTCATTTGAAACCAGTAAAAATAAGAATGATGACAAGACCACAAACTGATGGAGCAGGATTATTGTATTCTCTTCATAAACTGTTCTAATTATTTTGCAATAAATAGTCTCTCATAAGACAGATTATTAGGACCAAAAGTTTTTCATAAGAACCAGAGTTTCAGGGGGCCAAGAGACATATTCTCTAGTTCATTTTCTACCTAGGAGTAAAAAGAGGGAAAAAATTCATCTATAGCTCAAAAAGATTACATTGGAGGGGAAACAAACTTTTGCCACCATTATGTATGTGCTGTGTATCCCTAAATCATCTGTTGAAGTTCAAATCAAAGAATCTTAGAATGTGAGGTTCCTTGGATATAAACTAACACACGGTCCTTAAGGTGAGCCCTAACCCAATAGGACTAATGTCCTTATTTTTTTTTCTGTCTTTTTTTTTTTATCAGTACCAGGGATTGAACTCACAACCACACACCTGCAAGGCAGGTGCTTATGCCGCTGAGCTAAACCCCAAGCCCCCTAATTAAAGAAGTTTGGAAACAGAGACAGGAACAAACACAAGAACAAAGCCAACTGAAGATGAAGGCAGAAATCAAGAGCAAAGCATACATAAGCCAAGGTACACCAAAGATTGCCAGTAATCTGGTCACCATGCTACACACCTCTAATGCCAGCTACTCGGAAAGGTGAGGCAGAATTGGAAGTTAAAACCCAGCCTGTGAAACTTAGTGAGATCCTGTCTCAAAAACTAAAATTTTATTTAAATGGCTGGGAATATAGTTCAGTGGTGGAGCACTTGCCTAGCATGTAGAAGGTCCTGGGTTCAATCCCCAGTGCATTAAAAAAAAAAAATTGGCAGAGGCCCCCAGAAGCTGGGAGAGAGGCCTGCAGCCCATTCCCCCTACAGCCCTTGAGGAACAATATTGCTTGATTTTTGGATTTGCAACCTCCAGAACTGGGAGAAAATAAACATCTATTGTGTAATCCATTCAATTGTGGCACTTTCATGACAGCCATAACAAACTGATACAATATGTACCCTTAAATTTTCTTCTGAGACTAAAAATATCATGTTCTTTAGTTCTGTACTTTCAGAAGAAAATAACTGACATTTAAAATACTAGACAACTGAATAATAGCTAGAAGATTACAACATTAAATGGAGTAAAAACACAGAGGAGAGAGGAGAGGAAGAGAGGAGGAGAGGAGGAGAGAAAGAGAGGAGGAAAGAGGAGGAGAGGAAGAGAAAGGAGAGAGGGGAGAGGGAGAGAGAGAGAGAGCCAGAAATGGTAGTGCACTCCTGTAATTCCGTACTCAGAAAGCTGAGGCAGGAGGATTCTTGCAAGTTCAAGACCAACCTGGGTTACAAAGTGACCCCAAGGTCAGCCTGAACTGTATAGTGAGGCCCTGTGTCAAAAAGACAGGGAGAGAAAGAGACAGACAGACAGAGAAACAGGGAATACTGCATCAAAGAAGATACAGACAAAAACAGTTAATAAAGTGATGGCTATAGCACAATAATAACCAAAGCAATAGATAAGAAGGGGACTGAATTTGTCCATCTCCTGGAGAGTCAGGTGGTATAACTGAGGCCCTATTGGAAATGCAGCACATGACCCCTGGCTTTTTAAGAGCCCCCTTTCTCTTTCCTGGCCACAGGCTGCAGTCCAGGTAAAGGGAAGGTCCACAGGAGCTTAGGAGGGAGGCCTGAAGGAGACCAGGTACCACAAGACGATGGAGGAGGGATGAAGGTACCGTTCATTCACAGACAGATAAAATTCACAGATCAACCTTGTGGCTATAATAGTCTATATAAAAATGTAAAAATATAAAGTAAAAAATTAATACATAGCATATGAAAATATATTTTATAATATACTGTATATAATATATGTAATGAGCATTATGTAATAATGACATCTATAATACAAAATATTTGAAGTATAAAAAAATCTCATGTGTGTATATCAATTAAACTATTTAAAACATAAAAATGGACAACACAGAGTAAAGCTTCTAGTAAGTAGACTTGGGTTAATGATAATGTATCAATACTGGCTCACTGATTATAACAAATGTACTACACTAATGTAAAATATTAAGAACAGAAGAAACTGGGAGGGACTGGAAGGGAAGAAACTGCAGGACTAGAAGGGGAGAAACAGCACACAAGAATCCTCTGTACTTTCTACTCACTTTTCTGTAAACCTAAAACTTCTCTAAAAAATAATCTACTACTCTGGTGCCAAGTAGCATGCTTGTAATCCCAGCGCTCTAGCAGGCCGAGGCAGGAGAATCACAAGTTTTACCCTGCCTGGGAAATTCAGTAATTTAGTGAGACCCTGTCTCAAAATAAATTAAAAATGGCTGGAGATGTAGCTCAGTACATAGGCCATGAGTTCCATGCCTGATGCAGAAAAACAAAGTCTAATAATGTTATCTTCTTTAGGAGCTTCTGTTCTTAAGACAGAAGACTGATGGTGCATAGCACTGCGGGGCCTTCATATCTTTCAAATAAGGAGATGCAGGAAGCATAATATCCTAGAGTTAGGAACATGGCTCCAACTTTCTGAGCTCAAACCCTAAGTCTACATTATCACTGACCAGTAGTGTGAACAGGGACTACTCACCTACCCCATATGCCTCAGTCACTTTGTTGGTAAGTGTGTATTTACCAACAAGGGAATTATTTCTAATTCATAATCATAAGACTATTGCTAAGAATTTAATAAGACAGTGCATGTCAGGAATTTAACACTATTTAAGTGTCAAATAAACATGGGCTGTTTCCATATTAAAACCAAAAGACCCAGGCAGGACCCCGAAGGCCTTGGGGATGACTCATCCACTGCCATGTGAGGCAGGGCTGCCATGCACACCTCACGGCCCATGCAGCACTGCCCTGAGTGCTAAGCACCTGCTTCTTTTCTTACCTTCTCCAAGCCCGTGGACTCATCATCCACATCTTTGGGGAGCAGAATGAGCATGCTGAGGTGCTTGTTTTGAAAAGGAAGCTCTATGATTTTACAGTTGATGTCATCAATATTCCCCAGACAAAATGTGGCCTCCAGATTCATCATTTGTACTGGTTTGGTGTCTGTCTGTTAATGGAAAAGAATTTGGACAGTTTTCAACTTACAGAAGCAAAAATATATATACATACATATTTACACACATACTCATACAAACAAATGTATATATACATACAAATACAATATGTATACCACCTATATATACACAGGCACATATAGACAAATATATCTACACATACATAAGCATACAAACAGACTTATATATACACAAATTTGCTCTTATGTTTTAAAATCATTGTAGTTTATGATATACGCACTATGACCCAAACTGTGTTCCACCCAAATCATCAGAGTCCTGTGCAGTCATTGACTTTCTTTGAAAAGCCATTCACGTGCTTTATAATTCCATGTTATACATTATAGCAACTACATACATTATACTTGCATATACAGAACATTAAAAAAAGACAGAATGACTGAAAATATAGGCAAAATTTGACTTAATCTTTACAGATATAATTATGAGATCTTTATTCCTAGAGGAATTGACTTGAAAGTAAACTCTAGTGTGAACCCACATATCCATTTATAAAGCACTTCCCAAAAAAGTGCTCTAAAATCTTAGCATACATCTGGATAAAATCATATTTGGTTTGGCTTCTATTTGTCTTTGATTTGTGTCACCTGCTCTGCCCAGTATTGCTATCTGCTCTAATTTGAGCTCATGAGGAACCTGGATTGGCAATAAGTCTGAGTTTGAGTCCCAAATGCATTTGCTCCTAAAACTTAGAGCAATTCACTTGACTTCTCTAACACAGTTGCTTTGTCAGTGGAATAAGAAAATTGGAAAATTCAGAATAGTCATGGTGAAAGGAGAAGGGACAGAACAGAACAGCAGGAGAGAGTGAGGTAGTAACAATATACTGGCAATGTAGCTGCTGTTATATTTTTTCTTTAAACTACTAAAATAAGATAAAACATTAAGCTGTTGAAGCTGGTCAGTAGGTGTATTGGTGTTCATTATACTCTATGGGTTTCTGTCTGCTTGAAATATTTCACGGCTTTGACAAGAATGCTCTCAAAACTTTTTGTCAGTCTCTCCCACATCCAACATACTCAATGCCCCTTTTGCAATAGAGCCCATGAAGTGGTCTTATCACTCAGGCATTTATCCCGCAATCCACCCTAGGCTCCCCCTTCCCCACTGTTAATTCCCTATTATCTTGTTTTGAAGCCCTGTATCATTCTCATTGTTTGATTGGGTTTTATTCTGTTTTATCTTGTTTGATTTTATCATATCCAATGGCTTGGGCAACTATTTTAAAGATAAGATATAGTACAGTAGCCATTTTGGATTTACTGTTATCTTGTTTTGCAGTCCTTTACTGTATACTTTGCTTTGTTTTTATTAGCTCTATTCTGTTCTGTTTTGTTTGATTTTTACTATGTCTGAAGTTATGAGCAGCTATTTCGAAGACAAGAAACATTATGGTAACCACTGTTGATTTCCTAATATCTTGTTTTGAAGTCCTGTGTCACACGGTTTCATTTTGATGGCTTTCTTCTGTTTTATTTTGCTTGGTTTTATTCTCATTAAAATAAAAATTACAAAAAATGTTCAAGGGCTGACAAAGCCAATTCAAAGGATACAAAAGCAACAACATCTGCATTCAAGAGGAGGGTGTGCCCCCAGGTGGCCTTGAGGAGAGTTTTACTGTGTAATTAAGTGAAGCACTCAAGAGTAATGACCAGTCAAACCTTCAATTCTCTTCAGAGTGTTGAGTTTCCAAAGTTTGATATCACCTCACTTTACGATGTAATTACAACAATAAAGGAGTGTCACACATTCCTCTTCTATTCCCAAAGACACTTATTAATCCTTTCTTAAATGTAAAAGCTAGAAACACTAATGTGATCAACACAAAAGTCCAGAACTCACTAATGACTACAGCATCTCCTGATGTAGCCCTACGGATTTAAAGAGAGGTAGCAACAGCAACATGTTTCAGATTCCACTTAGACATATCCAGAGACCCTCTTCCCGCCCGTCAGAAAGGAAAACCACACTCAGCTCAGATGAGACAGAGCGGGCCCCCAGGACGGGGCAGGGCAGGCAGTGTGGTGCCCACTCCTCACTGACTCACCGGACTGCGATCAACCTGCAGCTCCCTTTTCTTTCCTTCCTTGTTTTTTTTTTTTTTTTTCAATGAAGAGAAATTGTTTTGAACTCTACATAATACAGTAAATATATATACGTAGTAAAACTTTTTAATTTTTTATATTTTTAATTGTAACTTTTTTTTAAAAGAGGAAAAAGAACTCTGCTGAGGGTTGGACACCACTGCTAGGTTGTACATTCATGCTCCACTTCAGTTCCTTGAAAGACAACACTAACAAAATGAAAAGGCCACACTTAAAACCTCAAGAAGCTCTACATACATGAAAAATCTGAACACTGGGAAGCCAAGCCAGCACCTCCCCTCCCTGATAAGCGGAGGCAGGGTGGCAGACTGCAGCCCTTCCAGGAGAAGAGCTAGCAGTGTCTCCTGAGATCCATGCCATGTTGGAACTGAGGACGCTGTGAAAACAAATAACCATTCTGCCTCCCTGCTTAGCAATAGTGAACCTACTGCTACATGGCCTAGAGTCAAATATCCCACTTCCCCTATCCCCCTTCTCTCCTTTGCGCCCCCCCACCCACCCATTAGCAAATGGGAACCAGAAATCTGAGCATCTCCTGGGAGGTTGACCATAGCAAATAAGGGGGACTTCTTTCTACCAAAGGGAAAAAAAAATCTGAGTCTGAAGAACCTAATGCATGTCCCTAGTATCTCAGATACACATCTGTGCTCAAAGCCAGTCCTGTTTTTGTCAGCTTTGAGAAGACCGCTGAGGTCAGGAAGCCAGGCTCAGCAAGGGGGTACTGGAAGGAGGAACCCCAACTCCCTTCTACCACTCATCAATATTCTGAGTAGGTAAGGAGCAATAACAGCAGACGTCCTCTCTCAGTAAAAATGCCCAGTAAAGGCCAATCAGGTTCTGTCTGACATTGGCTGCTTAATCAAACCGACTTCTGGGGGACTAAATAGTCATTCATTCGACAAATTTACAGGCACCTAGGGTGTGTACAGGATGTGGCCAGAAACTGTACACCTCAAGATGAATAAGGTATGGTCTCTGCTGTTATAAATCCCAACCTCTAGTGGAGGACTTAGTAGAGAAAAACAGATTCTACTGAGAAAAGTAAATTTAGAAGTAGGCATAGTACAAGTAAAAATTCTTTGGAGAAAAAAGAGTCATGGAAGCCAGCCCCTCTAAGTTTGTATTTTGAAGATCTTTTTACCCCAGATTGCAGCATAAATGATCTGCTGTATTTAGCAAAAATAAGTAATTAATCTCGGGTACTGTAGGTTCTGGGAGAAACTTGAAAAATTAAATTGATGAACAAGAGCTACCAGGTAAAAAAGCTTTCTGCAAGTGTTGTGGTAGAGGAAGGATTGCTTTAGATTTCAGTTTTAACACAAGTCATCACACCAGGGAAGACTCAAGTCACATCTTCATATGAATCCCTGGATCTTCCTAGATTGCCCAGTAAAATGGGTCAATTTTCCAATCTCACTCCCTTGGTTTAATTTATAGAAGTGTAATTTAACCTATGTCTACCACTTATTTTTTTTTAAATATTCACATCAATGCCATTAATGAGACCGACTTGCAAAAGAGGCTTCTAATTCTCCACTATAATAACTCCCAATAATGCAGATGAGTAAGCTATACTTTTTTCTTCACAGCCAACAAATGCTTCTAAGTATCTTATAAATTACAAAATAAAAGACTGAAATCACTGCTGGAGCATTTGCCTAGCATTTTTGAGACCTTTCATTCAATGCCTTGCATTGCAAAAGAAATACAAAATCAAAATAAATCACGAAAACATGTGTTTTCCTAACAATCGGTGAAAAAGATGAGATTATAGAGAAATTAATCAGGAACAAATGACTAAATGGTCAAGCTTTCATAGCAGTTCAAGGGTCCTTTATAGGACTTGGTTTGTTTTCTTTTCATTTCTTTTCCTTTCTTGCTAAAGATTCCAGTACCCTCACATTCCTCATTGGGATGAATTCACACTCTTTCTGTTGCCAAAATTTCTATTTAGAATAAGCTGCATCCATGTACCTACCAATACCTAAGCAAATGCACTCTATTCTAGACCTAAGAAATTATGGCAAAAAATGGAAATAGAGCTTTTGCAAATGGGAAGCGAAACACAAGTTAGAGGGAGCAGGGAGGGATTGGAGGGAAAGGGGACCAAAAAAAGAATAAGACGTGTTACACACAGGTACAAACTCCCCATGCTAAATGTAGTCATATGTACTGCAAACATGTACTAATAAAAATAAATCAAAATTTTAAAAGAAAAAATAATTAATTAAAAAATTAGAATAATGATCGTTTGACTGATGTATACTGCCACATACCTTGCTGACTCTGAAAGGGCATTCCTTTGTTTCTGATTCAGGAAATTTCTTCATCCACTTTCCAACAAAGTAGGCAGCATTAACCACAAGGATTTTGGTCTGGTCGTTCACATTATTGTCAGATAAAATGTTCTCAAAGTAGCCTGCAAACAATTTTAGAAAACCACAAATAGCACAGTTATTATTCCAAACTACATCGGACATATGCATGCATGTTCATTAACTGGGCATGGGCCACTTAGAGCCACAGCACACAAGGCCTAGCAGCACAGACTGTATAGTATTCCAGGACTTCATCTCCTTCTGCCTGACCACACCAGACTTACCAAAGGCAGACCTCAAATGAGAAGTCAGGTCTTCCTAACTCAAAGCCTGTGCTTCCAAGCAAAAATGCTTGTCCCATGGCTTTATATAAACCTAGCTCTTGAGGGCTGGGGATTTAGCTCAGCGGCATAAGCGCCTGCCTTGCAAGCAGGCAGTCACGAGTTTGATCCCCGATACCAATAAAAAAGAAAAAGACCAAAAAAAACCTAGGTTTGTACTCAGCATTTTCACCTATACTTTCTCATTTTTTTTTCACATTGGTCCTGTAAGCAAAGATATTTATCCCTATTGTATCATTGAGAAAATTGGGGCTCAGGGAGATCAAGGAGCTGTCATAGTTCAATCAGCAGGAAAGCATGTCCAATTTCAAAATAATACTTTCTTTACCTGAAGACCCCCGACTCCTGCCCTCTCCTTGCAGGCAGGCCATTTGCCTCAAAGGCAACTGTGGTCTCCACAAGGTAGAGTTCAATGGTAACAACCCCTTAATAATAATATCTCCTTGTATTTGAACAGCATCTGACATTTTCCAAAGAATTTTCATTTCCCTACTCTGATTTTCATGTTACTCCTGCAGGTCCCTCTCAGAGACCTGGACCAGTATGCAAAGAGTCCTGTACTTAGTTTAATGTTCTATTTTGTTACCATCTCAAAATGTTAATAGAATTTCTAAAAAGGGCCCTGAATTTCTAAAAGTGCACTGTAAATTAAGTAACTGGTCCACCCAGTACTATATGTGTCACATATGTAATAATATTACTGAAGAAATTTGAAGATCAAAGAAGTACAGGTACCAGTAAGTAGCAGAGTTTCAAATTAAATTTTGAGCTTTCGCTTCTGAATTCAGAATTCTTTTCACCAACCTACATTCTTTAATCCAAATCTTACATATCTTGAGTTTTTAAAATTAAAAAAAAATTATTTGAGGAAAAATATAATGACTTAGAAATTCTAAAACCTAAACCCTAACAGCAACATAAGCAGAAGCTGCTTTGTGCTTTAATTTTTTAAATTGTTCTCATCCTGGTATTATGTCATCAAAGTTAGGTTTTCACAGATGGAGCAGAATAAGCTTTATTTTAATAATATAGGCAGAGATTTGTAGGTAGGTACTCATATGTGTACATACAAATATATCTATGATGCTATTTGTTGATATATACTATGCAATTTTATCCTCACAACTTGGTAAAAAACAAAATTCATGTAGCACATGCCCTGTTACACAGTTTGATAAATTGAGGTTCCATCTCCAAATATCACTGTTCATAAGTGGCAATGCCTGGATTTGAACCTAGATCCTAAACAACTCCAAAATTCCTATCATCCGTGTTGTTCTATGTGGACTTTATCATTCATGAATCTGTACCCCTGTGAGCTCTGCCCATTCTCACAAGAAGTGTGTCTCCCTGACTCCAGAAGTACATCCCTCTGTAGCCAGCAGTGACTGCCACAGGCTTCAGTCTTTCATCATTGTCTGCTGTTTCCCAAGCAGGTAACCTAAATGTGCAATTATCCTAAATATATCCGCTGGAAAAGGAGACTTAGTCACTGACTAGAATCCAAATCATCTTAGCTCCAATTCCTTTCAATCAAAGTGGATGCCTCTGGGAATTTAATGGAAGAAGAAGGTAGCAGGCAGGGAAAGGCCCAGAGCAGCTCTGAGCAACAGGCAAGAATAAGTAGATATATCAAGAGACCTCTAGACTCGGCAAACTCCTCAGCAAGAGGAGTTGTGAGACCAAAGACAAACTTCTGCTATAGTTTTGTTTGGTTTGTTTTTCTACATATTTACTTGCCTAAACCCCTTTTTCTTTAATAAATCTGCAGAATTTTTGAGCTAGAAGGGGCCTCAGGTGTCATCAAATTATACCAGTTCTTCCAATTACAGAGTTAAAAACCGACCTAATGACAAGCCAAAGCCATCCTGTTTGAGACCCATCTGGGGTTCCTCCAAGGCCTAGCAGCCCCGGGGAGAGCAAGACAAAGATGACAGAAACTGAAGCACTAGAAATTTCTGCCAAGTGATGAGATAATATGCCCATAATATGCCCAGAAATTCAAGTTGTTGACATGTCTTAACAGGCAAGAATTTAGCTTATGTCCTAAAAATACCACACAACAAATCCTCCAGATGTTCAGTTTGCTAATCCTTCGAGCAAGGATTTATGAAAAGGGAGGTTCTGTTTACTTAACCATTTATAGCACAACAAGTAAAGGATACTTACCATCTGTGAGCTCCTTAATGGAGTTGTTGATCTGAACTTTCGTTTCATCCAGTTTATCTTTGAAATCAACAGTTTCCAATTCTTTCGCATATGGTCTCTTTGTAGAGCTGAGGAATTCCTGAAAATTATCCAGTTCCATAAAGTCAGAGTTCTTAAGGTTTACATTCAAGCTATTGTATTGTTACACTGCTCTAACGAAAGTTTTTAAAATCTATTGCTATGGATACACTTTAAGAACTGGTAACAAGCAATATGAATTGAAACTTCACATACAAATTAGAGAATTTTCTTTGCATGTAATAGTTTAATTCTTCAACTATGAAACATTTTCAACTATTAAATGCATTCACCAATTTAGTATCAACTTTCAGAAAAACGAAACACTATGTTAAATATACAAGTATAAGAGGGATTCCAATTTCAGAAATAGATAGATTAAAAAAAACAAAATGTACATAAAACAGAACTATCCACAGAAATCTCTCATTATTATTTAAACAAATATTCTATAGATCCTTGATGCTCAGTGTACAGTCCAAGAATCAGGAGCCACAGTGTCACCTGGGACCTTGGATCAAATGAAGAATTTTAGGCCCCACCCCAGACCTACTGAATGAGACTGCATTTTACAAGATTTCCAGGTGTGTCATCTACACATTAAAGTTTAAAACATAGTGCTACAGAGATTACAGTAGTGATTCTAACCCTAAAGCTTATTTTAATTGCAAACCCCTAAATCCCATCTGCATTGATTTTGGTTCAGAAGATCTGAAGGATTAAAAGGGGATACATACAACTCCCCAGGGTGAATGCATTCATTATGTATTGCAAGAGACATATGAGAGAGAGAGAGACAGAGAGAGAGAGAGAGACAGAGAGAGAGAGAGACAGAGAGAGAGAGACTGGGAAGGGAAGAGGAGGGGAGGGGAGGGGAGGGGAGGGGAGGGGAGGGAAGGGAAGGGAAGGGAAGGGAAGGGAAGGGAAGGGAAGGAGGACAAGAAGAGAAAAGAACGAAGGAAAGAAAGACTCCCAGAAGGTGTTAAAAACTATGGCATTAAAACAAAGAGGAATATTTTGAGATGGGTTAATAGCAATGTGTCTTACTGTAATGAATTTTTTTTTTATTAAAAAGAGAAAGAACCGAGGCCTAGAATTCACCCTTTTAAGAAACATCCAGGTAGTCTTGATGTAGGTGGCCCTTCCTGGACAACAGTTGTTTGCAAAATTACCTAATGAATTTTAGGTGCTGAGTACCAGCAAATACAATGGAAAGCAGTCAAAAAAAAACCTTGCAGACTCCTAGTTTTCTTGAAATTATTCCAAATGTTGAATTAGAACTTCAACCAAATTATACATAATCTGAATGTTGTGACACTTACTCCAAGCCTGGGCTCCTGGAATTTCTCCCAATTCTCCCAAGCATCTACAGCCCTAACCAATAAGTCAGCTTCACTTACCTCCATCCACCCGTGGAGCTGAGCATCACTGCTCCCTGAGAGTCAGCACCGCCTAACATGTGAGAAAGCCTCAGCATGATGAGGGCCCCTATTGTCCTCACTGCAAGAAAATCATTCAGGACCTCTCCTGCAGGGTCAGCTAGGGGCATTTAATTCTTCTCACACCCGGCACCAACTCAAACCAAATGGTTGTTTATACATGTCTTCAAGCCAAAAGAATAAAATCACAACCCTAGTGACTAGGGTCCTTGAAAGATGTCAACCACAAGAACAAATACCTCTTACAGAAAGTTGTAATGTAATAGTAAAATATTAATCCAGTATAATAGTTTTTAAATTTAGTAAGTTTGAAACTATGACCACCCACACAAGAACCCTATAGTACAAAGTAGAGAAGGAACAAAGGAACATCTCTGTAATCTAAAAGTGCGACTGTATTTCAAATAGAATTTTTAAAAATATTATGATATACCTTGGAGTCCAAGGTAAGGGAATGCCAATGTTTTTTCTATGAGTGTTTCAAGGACATGAGTTGTCTTGCACTTCTTGCCTATATACATACACTTATTAGACAGTTAATCACTCCACCCTTCAACTGCAGGGAAGGAGGAGGAGGGAGACTCATGAGTGTTGGAGAAAAGGGAAGCCCATCAGCTTCTGTACGTCTATATTAGAAGACGCGACTGCTCTCAGGTCCCACTGCATTCAACCTCTTCACTTAGACTGACTTAAAGAAGTCCCAGACCAAATATGAACGCTCTAGAAATGACTTTCATGGAAAAGAAGGGGGTGAGTCTAACAGTGTGAAATACCACTCTTCGTAAAAAGTTAAATCTTGCTAATAACTTTAAACAACTTACTGTAGAAGGGTTCAGAGATTTGTCTACGTAGAGCCGCTTGATTAGTTTCAAAGAGTAAAAGGAACTAAGTTTATTTACATCCGAGGTAACTGTTTGAAATCCAAAGGGCACATCTTTAACATTTTCAAAATGAAGGACCTGTCGAGAGAAAAAGTCCATTACCAAAAAGCATCACCTGTTCCTGCTGAAGTAGACACTTGGTGACATCCATCTCCTCAGGGCACACAGTTTCTCCATGCTCAGGTGTTCCCATAAAGCAAGGTTTGTGATCCCCAGCACTATGGACCTTTCCAGCTAGGTGACTCCTGTTAGGACTGTTTTGGCTATTGTAGGCTGCTTAGCAGCATCCTTACCCTAAATGCTAGTAGCCTTCTATTCTTACTTGTGACCATCAAAAAGTCTCCAGACATTGCCAAATATCCCCAGGGTGGGAGGGGAAGACAAAATTGTCCCCAGTTGAGAAGCACTATCCTGAGATCTATTCCTGATTGACTGTAGGGAAATTTTGGCCTCTTTTCAAAGTGTGCTTCTGAGACTCATGCAGAAGGAATTCCTAACTGGGGAAAAAATGAAGCTGAAATAGAATTTCTATAGAATCTAGAGACCAAAAAAAGAAATTAAACTAAGAGAGATAATCACTGGACAGGTATGAGATTCCAGGACAGAGGTACCTCTAGCCAAAGTTTGGTCTCTTTATATTCCTTACCAAGTACCAAATGAACTGATATACCACTTATAAAATGAACCTGGAGTAACTGATGGGCCCTGGGTGGGCTGCAGTCAGATGGCTTTATGTACATACTAGAAGCGCAGTCTTCTCCAACTCTCCATAGCCTCACCTACCCTTCTGTAAAATGGACTGAAAATACCTATGGTTTGAGTTGTTCTGAGGATTAAGTATACCTAAGACACCTAAACTATCATATAGATTCAAATCTATCATATGGACTATGCTTATTAGTATTATAATAATATTCTAAGCCATCTAAAATTAGGATGCTATCATTTGAAGGCTTTTGTTCCTTTTCTTTTGCTCCAACCAACACTCTAGCATCTCAGACTCTGCTTTGTTGTACTGCAAAATGTGAAGTCAGCAGGAGATATATTCTCTCCTCACTCCATAACTCATGATGGTCATACCACCAAACCATCATATTATGCAAATGAGTCACACACCCTCAGCACTGCATGATCAAATTGGACTTTTCTAAGCCAGTACATGACTGTCATCCCTAATGATAGGTAAACAAGGCCAGAAAATTAAAGAGTCCAGGTAACTATTGCTTGGGAACCAGTTGCATGCTCTGAGAAGATTTTTCTTTATTACTGGTGAGGAAGCAATCCATTACCAGAAAGTTGTTGGGCTTGGATTGGATATTTTTCTTCTCTTTTCTTTCTTTTGGTGTCTGTTTGTTTGTTTGTTTTTCACTGGAAATTGAACCCAGGACCTGTCACACTTCCTAGATATGCATTCCGCCCTGAGCTACATTCCCCAGTATTTTTTATGCTTTTTGTTTTGAGACAGGGTCTTGCTAAATTGCCCAACATGGCCTTGTGTGGTCATCCTGCCTCTGCCTCCTAACTAAGTGAAATTTCAGGCATGCACCACTGTTCTCAGCAAAGAAGCTCTCTTTCTGTTCCTTCTCAAACTGCAGATAGAAATAAAGATTTTTCTTCCCAGGACTGAAGTTTCTTCTTTAAGGCCCTCTCAATTTAAAGTGTAAATTCCTCATCCTGACCTAAATAACATTTTGTTAGTCATAATTATGGACATTTATGCATATAAAAAGGTATTCTCTTTTTAAATGCCTATGAGCTTAAGGAGAGAACCTAGAGCAATCAACAGAATAATAGTATGGAATTAGGAGGATGCTTACCTACCACCTACAAGTACATCAGGACTTAAACCGAAATCAGGAAAATCATCTCATTTCAAAGTCTGAGAATGTTAAAAGCTAGACAATCAACCACAACCAAATGGAAAATAAAACATTTACATATGCGTGTCTCTGAGTATGTCTGTGTCTGTTTTTCTGTGTAAAACATCATGTTAGTCCATGCTTCTCAATAAGAATCCAAGATCCCTGAGATTTTTTTTTTTTTTTTTTTTTTTTTTTTTGTCTTTTTCGTTTTTATCGGTACCGGGGATCGAACTCACGACTGCCTGCTTACAAGGCAAGCGCTTATGCCGCTGAGCTAAATCCCCAGCCCCGATCCCTGAGATTATTAAAAAAATATGAAAACAATTCATCTTATTTATCTATAATATTTGAAGGTAGATAACTTAAAAATCATTTGTCTATTAAAGTAAGTGTGGATATATTTTAGGGCAGGATGGAATTTTAGAGTAGAGTAGACCTTGCATGTTAAAATAAAGCATGATGCTGTAAGTAAATTGTGTGCCAAGGTGGACTGCTTTGCTCTCTAGGGTAGAAATGGGGTGTGGATTCACATTCTGCTCAGGTATTTGTACTGGAACATTTGATAAAAGCTATCTCCATTGACCTTTACAATATAACAGCTGTGTAGTTGTCCCAAGACCTGCTAAAGGCCACTGGTAAATGAAACACCTACAACTGCCTGCCAGAACCCCAGGTTCTGCATCGCAACCTGCACCTACTCTGGACATGTGATATAGGACATGTCAATAAGCTTTTGCACAGAAAAACAGATTAAGAGAGCTGGATGCAGTGGCTTGCGCCTATAATCTTAGTTACTCAGGCGGCTGAGGCTCAAGTTCAAGGAAATTAAGTGAGACCCTGTCTCAAAAATAAACAATAAAAGTATCTCAGAAGTAGCATACTCCTGGGTTCAAATTACATGAAAAGAAGAGGTTAAGGGAGTCCTACAAATGCCACAACTCTCAACCTCAGCAGTGCTGAACACAGTCTCTGTTTTCTTTCCAGGCCCTTCCAATGGATTCTAATAACTATATTCTCACTTAAAGTCACAACAAGGGCTTACCTGTCCAATTTCATTTGCTGTGTCACCTTTGGCACCTACTTGAGCAAGTGACAGAGAGGTGGACAGACAGATTGGAGAGAAAAGAACATTGCCCGCTGGCTCCTTCTCACACAGTTGTTTGAACAGGTCAACAGCAAAAGCCGAATTTGCCAGCTGCAGGGCATCCATTGCAGGCCTGGAACCAAGGACAAAGCAAGCGTCATCTCCAAGGTGGACTACAGTGCTCTCAGCTGCGCTCTGCCAACCCAGGAAGAATTCTATTTCAACAAAGTAATGATCTTGGGTAGAAGACTGGAAGGAACTTTCCATACATTCAAGAAGAAAGTCAGTTGTGAGGAAACATCTGGGCAATGGTCCTAAAAATATAGGTCTGTGTTCCCTAAACTGCTTAGAATCTCTAAACCCAAGCCTGCTCCACAACAATGGCCTGGGTCTGAAGCCCACCCACCATGTCTCCTCCTCAGCAACTGATCAGAGCCACCGATAGCACTAAATAAAATCAGTCGGATTTATTTATCACACATTGTTTTGATTATGATTTTGGTTAAATCACACAAAGTTGTCATTTTTGTAGATCACAAACAATAAAACTGCAGTCGTTTTGTGTGATTCAACTGAATACCTGTTAAATGCCATAAGTTAAATTGCATCCTCCAAGAAGACATGTTGAACTCCTAATCTCTAGTACCTATGTTTGTGGCTTCATTTGCAAATAAGATCGTTGAGACTGAATTAGCTAATGTGGGGTCATCCTGGTGTCAGATGGGCCTTAATCCAATAACTGATGTCCTTATCAGAACAGAAGAAAAGACAAAAGAGGCAAACACACAAAGAGGGAAGACAATTTGTCTGCACAAAGACAGAGAGAGCAAGACGACAAAGCATGCGTTCGAGGACACACATCCTGGTGCCAGAGACAGGGTGTCATTATTCAAGATAGAGGGTTTCCTTAGGCTCTATGTGTGCTAGATTTGAAGCCAAGAACAGAGTTATAACTTGCATCTTATACCTGGTCAGAAACACAGAATGCAAAAACATGAAAACCCCCTAACATCAAGGATTGGCCCACTGATCTTCAAATATCTCTTCAGAATTCCCTTTTATGGGATACCTGCCTTGTGTGTGGGTCAAACTAAAAATATTATATTATAGAGTCTGAAAAAGCAAGATTAGAAAAATAATAATGATGATAATAAATGCTGATGATTGTGATGGGTGATGATGTGGATGATATTTTATTGGCCCTATTCATGCTCACTGGTCATTCCACTGAGTTGCTCCTTCTCTTTATACCCCTGAGAAGTACATCAAGTGCACACTGAACAGTACACCGTTACAAATCTATCACACGTAACCTAAAGTCCTGGTAGGCTGTCCTTTAAACCCACCGGGCCACCTTCTCCCCTTGGGTCAGGGTCTAGTTAAAGGATGAAATCATAACCCAGTGGAGCTGACCAGCACTAGATATACACTGAGACCAGCAATGTCCTGAGACGAGAACGAGACTGAGAGTGTTTCAGTTCACCCTTAAGAAAATTAAAAGAAACTTCGAGACATGTGTTTTGGGGAATGTGGGTGACAGACTTTCAAAACAAGCAGGCTAGTTTCCTTCCCCCTGAAGCAAATTTAACAATGACAAAACTGAGTTTATGGACACCTAAAACTCAACATAAACACAAAATAATGATCAATTTCCTCACCAAACAAAAAAAAACCTACACTTACATTCCTACAAACATTTCAATGCTTCTACAACTTGGGGCTTAATCACACCAATAATAATATGAAAATATACAAATTGTGCTTCAACAAACACAAGTAGTTCCCCCTAGCATGTATTTACTACCCCTTAAGAAGAAAAATCAGGGTAATTCTGTAAGTTGATAATGAACGATAATTTTTATGAATTCCTTTGTGTAGAAAAACTATGTTTAAAAGCACAGATTAACCTGCTAAGAGAGTTTGACTGAAGATACCTAGGACTGAATCCGGGAAGTGAATCAAAGGGTAAGGAAATACTCATTTTACCATTTTGTGCAACCAAAATATTATTTATTCTAACATTTTGAGATACGTTTAGCCTAAATTACTCCCTAATTATAGGTCATCTGGTTTTTAATGCAGCTAATTACACAATATTTTAAGGCTGTACTGCAGTACAAAGCTTAGATCCAGGCCTTTGTTGGAGAATATAAATCATTACACATCTAACATCAGGAAGCTTTGCCACAGCCAAGCCCACTTTTAGTGAATCCCTTCTTTTTTGCAAGGTAAGCCTTGGACATAAACCCACCTGCCTTCCTTTCCATCTTCCTGCCATATGTTAATTGTCTCCTTTCTCAGAAAATTCTCCTTGGCTGTGGGGAAAGGCCATAATATACAAAATGCCAGCTACAGCAGCTTGTTTAATGCATGACAAAGGTATCAAAAAAAAGTTTGTAAATAAAAAATGCATTATGCGTTGGTAAATAATGACCAATTATAATATTAATCAAATATTATATGGTGGATCTGGTCATCTGCTCCATGATTAGTCTCAGGTGACCTAAAAGTACTATGAGGGTGATCTGGTCTAAAATAGACAAAAGATAAAAATTAAAAAATGAACTACTGAAGATAGGAGTTTGGCTACAGCCAATTGCCATTTTGCTGTGCTATAAGATGATTAAAACATTTAAACAAATCCCAGAGATGTTAGCAATACATGCCCCCACCAAAATGTCAAATTCTCACAAAGACCATTTTGGATGAGCAAATGCTATAACAAATTTCTAGGTACAACAGTAGGGACTAATACTTCCTTTTTTTGACGACATTAGTAATTTCTATACAGTAAATTTATATGTCCAATGGTTTGTGTTCAAAGTACAAAATCACTACAATATTTTTGCAGTATTCTTTCACAGGTAACTTCTTTCAGTTTCATGAAAATTGTGTAACAATTTTAACAAAAATAATTTTGTTTATAATTCTAATAAAAGCACTACACATTTCAAACTCACTTGAACACTTAAAAAGCATTTTTATTTTAACCAGAGAAAACTGAAGTAAAAATGGAAATAATGATACAAATGCAGTTTTAACAATTTCCACTAAGTGGCTTGTTTTTTGTAATTTTTTCCAAAAGTGGTTCCAAAATCAGAAACCTTCAAGTAGGACGAGATCTTGGAGTGGGATCTAGTGTTGGCCCCACCTTCTTATTTTGAAAATGAAGAAAGTAAGACAGTGATTCTTCTAGGCCACCCACGTAGGGAGTGAAAGTGGCAAAACCAGACCTCCCATTCACTTCTTCTGGTCCCCAGCCTGCCACTCCCCACCACACCCACCACCATCTTTCCTGGCAACTGTGTCTTTGCTGGCGTTTGCACTCCAAAGTCTCTCAAATTCCTGAAATACTGTGTCCTGCATTGCCCTCTTTAAATATATCAAAATAAGCCAAGGACAGTGGCACACAATTATAATCATACCTGCTTGGGAGGCTGAAGCAAGAGGATCACAAGTTCAAGCCAACCTGGGGAGATTCTGTCTCAAAATAAAAAATAATAATGGCCTGAGCATTAAGTTTAGTTAGATGGCATCTCTGGATTCAATCCCTAGCACGACAACAAAAGATACCAAAATGATCTGCATGGTTGTTTTTGTTTTCAACAATGCATAGCTTTTTCCTTATGATTTTCCAACTTTAACCAGCTCTGGTTCTCTTTTCTGTCACTTAAATTGCAAATTCTTAATACTGTAATGCTGTCATTTAATAAGTACTGAGTACCTACCAAGTGCCAGACAGCAAGTGAAGCATTAAGAAAGTGAAGATGAACACAGCGTGGCTCCTGCCACCACCAGGCCATCAACTTGTGGCACGATGGAGACCTAATACTAGACTGGGGTAGGGGTGCTCACTCTTCTAGTCTTAAAGTTTGTCACTGTTCCCTGTATAAAGATTTTTCTAAGTTTGAAATGCCAGTGGCCCTCAAATTTTTTGTTTTCAGATTATTTTGATGAGTTTAAGGTTGTGTGGAAAGGGCAAACACATGTTCCCCTTGGTTTAAGTCTACTGTACTGACATTAGTGACAGTGCCTCTCTCACTCTCAAGCGTGTTCTTATTCAAACATGACCCTGCAGACCATCCACCACACCTTTCTGTACACTGTTACGTGTGTGTGTGAACACATGTTATGTGCATAGCTATGTGAACAGTTTTTCATTCCTTAAAAACTGAATTTTCAGTGTCAGTGCATTGTGGATGTCCTTAGCCGTGCCGGCCTCATTTTACAGGGGAAAATCTGCTCACAGTTTAGTGTAAAACTCCTTAAGTGCTACCTTGAGAAACTTTGCCAATCATACCTATGTTGGAACACCTAAAAACACAACCTCTGTGGCTCACATTCTGGCTCTGGAAAGAGAAAAATCAGAGCCACATTAAGAAAATATGAGATGTTTGCAGCTTATGCAAGATGAAAGAATATTATGAGGATAACATGAAATGATTAAGTATGTGAGAAGAGCTTTGTCCTCAGGGAAGTCCAATGCAGCCGTTAGTATTAATTGCTTGAATTTCCAATGGTGTGATGGTGTGGGAGTTTCTGCTTTGCTCACATGCTCTGAAATATCACAGCTGCTCCTGTTTCTTTAGAAACCTGGCCTTGACCCCTGATCTGCCCCTCACTGCTACGTACCAGTAAAGCAGTACCAGACTAAACCACACCAGAACAGCCCAGATTGCTGAGACTGCACGCTCCAAAAACAGCCTGCAGCCCAGAGGGACTGAAGTGGCACAGTTCAAGGCAGGAGGAAGCAAAAATATAAAGCTTCTGACTCATTTTTTATGGATAGTTTTATCCTCAGAGGCGCTCCCATCTCTCCATCCATCAAACTTGCACTAACTGGTGGCGACTGACACAGAGTCCATCTAAGTTTATTGCAAACCTCTTGAGAGATGCAGAGGGTAAAACATATATCAAAAAATCCAGTGTCACAGAGACATCCCTGAGCTGCAGGTTTGAAGGCCCGGTTCTCACTCAGTGGTGCCACTTACAAGTGGTGACCACTTCACTTCTGGGAGCCTCATCTATTAAATGCCAGGGCTGAGTAAAAATATCTGAAGGTTCCCCAGTCTTGAGTATTCTACAAGTCCATGGGACAACCTAGCCTTTTAAATAAAGTCTTAGTGTGTTAGG